ATATATATATATATATATATATATATATATATATATATATATATATATATATATATATATATATATATATCTGTGTGTCTCTATGAGTAAATAAATAAATAATCTTAAAAAAAAAAGAAGGTTCCACCAGAGTGGGAACAGAATGGATTCAAGAGGGTGAGGGTGGAAGCAGAGGCCAGGTGGCAGTTCTCTGTAGTCATCCACTCAAGAGATTCTGGGGGCTTGTGCCAGGTCATTAAAGGTGGATATGGAATCTCTTTGCCCAGTTTTCTCTGCTTCCTTGTCCTCTCCCTGGGTCTTTGCCCCACTTTCCTTTTCCTTTTTCCTCTTTCCTTTCCTTTCATCTATCTATCTATCTATCTATCTATCTATCTATCTATCTATCTATCTATCTATCTATGAATGACACAGAGAGGCAGACACAGACAGAGGGAGAAGCAGGCTCCCCACAGGGAGCCCGATGTGGGACTCAATCCCCAGACCCGGGATCATGCCCTGAGCCTAAGGGAGACGCTCAACCGCTGAGCCACCCAGGCGTCCCTGCCCCATTTCTTTGAGTCTCAGTCCTCCACCCTTTGGGTCTTTCTCCCTCACCCCCTTCTCTGGACGTCTGTCCTTCCCTCTGAGTCTCTCACTTCTCTCTAGACCTCTTCCCTCATTTCCCTGTCCACTTTCTCTGAATCCTTTCCCAGTGGGGTCGCAGTCTCCCCTCTACATTTGTGTCTGTCCCCAGGATCTTTGTCACTCTGGGTCCCGGCCCTCTGCTCTCTGGAGCGCCGTGGCTCTCTGCCGGGTGTCTACCTTCCCCAGTTGGCCCCTGAATCCCTCTCTTGGTCTTTGGCTCCCATGACTGTGTGTGTCTGCACGTCTCTGACTCTACTTGTCAAATTCCCAAGGTCCCAGGGTTCATTTCCCTGCTAGTCCCATAAGAGGGGTGACCCCGCCCTCACTGACCTTCCACACCCCGTCTCTGGGGCCTTCCTCTCTCAGCTCCGTGTCAGGACTGAAACAGACGCTGTTGGCTGAGTCGGGGGCCCTGACCAGCTACAGCCATCGGGTGTTCACCGCCTGGGACTTCGGCCTCTGTGGGGATGTCCACGTGCGGCTGCGCCAGCGCAACATCCTGTATGAGCTGCAGGTGAGCTCAGGGAAAGGACCAGAGGGGGCGGGGCCGAGAATCTGGGCGGGGTTCAGACCCGGGACAGGGCTCAAAGCGACGCTGGGCGGAACTTTCTCCTAAGGAGGCGGACCTCGCGAAATGAGAGGGCTGGGACGAGGCCCCAGTAGGGATACCTGATGTCAAAGGGGACAGGAAAAAAGCAGGCAGCGGGAAGGGGGCGGGGCATGAAGCTCCTCTGCACTGGGTGAGGACTTGGGCTTGGCCAGAAGGAGGCTAAGAAAGTAGAACTGGAACTCCGCCCCAGGCAAGAGGGCTGGGCGGGGCCTCGGAGGGGCGCGGTGTGGAGCCCTGGGTGGGGCTGGGGAGAGGTGGGAGATCTAAATTGTCCAGTAGAGGACCATGGGGGGATTGGGGCAAGAACTGCAGAAGTCTTTTTTTTTTTAAGATTTTATTTATTTATTCATGAGAGACACAGAGAGAGGCAGAGACACAGGCAGAGGGTGAAGCAGGCTCCATGCAGAGAGCCTGATGCGGAACTCGATCCCGGGACTCCAGGATCACGCCCTGGGCCAAAGGCAGGTGCTAAACCCCTGAGCCATCCAGGGATCCCCTGCAGAAGTCTTTAGAGGGTGCTGCTGTGTCAGTTCATGTTGAGCTGGGGTTCTGAACCACCTGCCGGGCCTGTCTGGGGGACTTGAGCCCCCAAGGACGTCTTTCCTGGCCTCAGGTGGAGCTGGAGGAAGCTGTGGTGAGGCGCCAGGCTGCAGTGCGGACCCTGGGACAGCAAGCCAGGGTGTGGTCGGTGCGGATCGTGCTCAATCTGCTGGTGATTGCACTCCTGGGAGCGGCCTTCTACGGAATCTACTGGGCTACAGGGGCCACCGTGGGGCTTCAGGTGTGGAGGGTCCTGGGGGAGGAGAGTCCTTCCATCCTGGAACTTACATTTCCAAGGTTGGAGGGCATCTTAGGAGGGGTGGGGGTGTATGTTTGGACTTTGGGGTGCTGGAGGAAGAAAAGGCTGGGGGAGGACGTTTAGCAAGGTTCTGGAGGACCAGAAGCCCAGAGCTTCTTTGCTTGATCCATCACCCTCTCTCCCAGGAGACGCCCTCTGTCCAGCAGATGCCACTGCTAAAGCTCCTGGTGGATTACCTTCCATCCATCTTCATCTCTGGGGTTAACTTCTTGCTGCCACCTGTGTTCAAGCTCATCGCCCCGCTGGAGGGCTACACCAGGAGCCACCAGATTGCTTTTATCCTGCTCAGGTTCTACCTTTGTGGGTGTGCTGGGGATGACGGCAGGGCTGATGTGAAAGACACTGGCTCTAGTACACAAGGCACAGAAATCCCCAGGATATGGGACCCAGTGAGATCTGGATTCAAATCCTGACTCTTGTTCCATCAGAGCCTCAGTTTCTTCATTTGTGAAGTGGGAAGAATTGTGAGCATGTTCCACATGTGGGGGGCGGAGGGCGGCTGGCACGTGGTGAACACTGGTCAGGGCTGATTCTGTTCCCCTTGCCAGGACCGTGTTTCTCCGCCTGGCATCCCTGCTAGTCCTGCTCTTCTCCCTCTGGAATCAGATCACTTGTGGGGGCAAGGCTGAGGCTGAAGAGTGTAAGACCTGTGGCTACAATTACAGGGAACTACCGGTGAGAAAGAAAGGGGCCCCAAATCCTGGGTCCTTGAAGGAAAGCAGGAACCAGATGGGTTCAGACTCCAGGTTTAAGAGGAAGAAGGAGCTTAAAGTGCTAGGACACCCTCCCCTTAAGCCCCCCCCCCCAACATAGGGTTGTTAGGATCACTTGTGATTTGGAGACTTGGATGCTTGGACCTCCAGGTGCCTGGATCTGGAGGTCTTTCTGATCCATGCCTTCCTTCCTCAGTGCTGGGAGACCCGGCTGGGGCAGGAGATGTACAAACTCCTGCTCTTTGATCTGCTGACTGGCGTGGCTGTCATGCTGCTCATCCAGTTTCCTCGGAAGTGAGCCCCCACCCCTACCCCATTTCTTCGCCCTCCTGTCTGCAGGCCCCGCCCCCTCTTACCTAGTTACTTCCCTCTAGACACACACTCCCTCCAGGACTGAAAACTCTACCCCTATTCAAATATATTCACTTCTGATTGGCGGGCAGGACGGCAGGGGCGGGGCAAGGCGGGCGGGCTTGCCTCTGACTTGGCCCCGCCCCACCCCTCAGGCTGCTCTGTGGCCTCTGTCCCGGGGCCCTGGGTCGCGTGGTGGGAACCCAGGAGTTCCAGGTACCCGACGAGGTGCTCGGGCTCATCTACGCACAGACGGTGGTCTGGGTAGGGAGTTTTTTCTGCCCTCTACTACCTCTGCTCAACACGGCCAAGTTCCTGTTACTTTTCTATTTCAAGAAGGTGAGGAGTGTGGTGGATTCCTGGGTCCTGAGGAAGGAGGATGCGAGAGTCCCCAGCTACTAGCTCCTGAGAGAGAAGGGTCTGGAGGACAGACTCCTGGATGTGGGAGGAGGGGATTAGGGCGTCTTTTCCGTCCAGGGGAAGAGGGGATCCGGCCTCCCAGATCTGACGGCAGCAAAGAACCAGGGATTGTTTCCCTCCTGAGGAGGGGCCAGGGACAAGGACTCTTGGACGATGAAAAAGGACAGGCCAGGGCTCAGGGTCTTGTGTCTCCTTCTTCTCCCAGTTCACCCTTTTCTCCACCTGCTCCCCGGCCTCCCGCACCTTTCGGGCTTCCACAGCGAACTTCTTTTTCCCCTTGGTCCTTCTCCTGGGTCTGGCCATCTCCGCTGTTCCCGTGCTTTACAGCATCTTCCTGTAAGTGTGAGAGGGGCCTGCCTCTCCCTTCTCCTTCCCTCCTTCCTTCCACCCTCATCCAGGATTCTGAATCTTGGCCATCCTTGAACACTGTCTGACTTCTTCAGGATCCCACCTTCTAAGCTGTGTGGTCCATTCCAAGGGCAGTCGTCTATCTGGGCCCAGATCCCTGAGTCTATTTCCAACCTCCCTCAGACCGTCCAGAACTTTCTCTTTTTCCTGGGGACCCAGGCTTTTGCTGTGCCTCTTCTCTTAATCTCCAGGTGAGGGAGCCCAGAATCCTGGGTCTGAGTTTGTGTTCCCTGGGGGCCCCTACTGCCTGTTTCTAAGAAAGGAGGGGCTGGGGGCCAGGACTCCTGGGTCTGAGGAAGGAGGGGGCTGGGGGCCTGGACTCTTGGGTCTGAAGGAGGAGGAGCCTGGACTCCCGGGTCTGAGGGAGGAGGGGTCTGGCGGGGGGGTGGGGCTGGGAGTCCAGATCCCCGGTTTCTAAGGAGCCTTTACACTGAAGATATGCTAAGAGCCCCCTGGGTATGGCTTCCATTTCCGTCTCCTCTAGCATCCTGATGGCATATACCCTGGCCTTGGCTAACTCCTATGGACGTCTCGTCTCTGAGCTCAAACGCCAGATAGAGACGGTGAGGCAAAGCGGGTTCATGGTAGGGGGTCCTGGATATTGAAAGAAATGGTGGGGAGCGGTCGGCCTCACCTGCACTTCTCTTTACCCTTTACCTCTACCCAGGAGGCGCAGAATAAGGTCTTCCTGGCACAGCGCGCTGTGGCACTGAGCTCGGCCACCGGGGCTCTTCGACCTCCCTAGCCCTGCTCGGGACCATGGCCCACTTCATCCTGCCCCCGGACCCTTTGGAAGCCCGCACCTCATCTGTAAAAGAGAACTTGAGAAGACCCTAAGTCCCCGGCCGCGGAGATTTCCGGGGCCCTGACGCCCCCTCACTGTCGCGTTAACCTTTCTCGTACCAATAAACGCCGCTGAGACTGCAGAGCGCTTTGTTTGTAACTTGCATCCTGAGCCGGCCAATCAGATGTATCGGCCTCGAGACGGCCAGCCAATCAGCGGCCGCGTCCCGTAGCTTCAGGGCGGGGACAAGTGATTGGCTCAGAACCTGGTGAAGAGGCGGTCTCCAGGCTACACCAACCCGAATTCGGCATCTCAGCCAATCAGCGCTCGCTACGGACTTGGAGGGGCGTGGCAGCCAGCCCAGGGCCAATCCGTAGCTGAGGCAGGAACAACAGGGAACGGCATCCTCTCGCCAATAGAAAGTGCTCAGAGGCGGGTCTCCAGTCGGTGGACGGCTACGACGCCATGAATATCTTGCCCAAGAAGAGTTGGCACGTCCGGAACAAGGACAATGTCGCCCGCGTGCGGCGTGACGAGGCTCAGGCCCGAGAGGAGGAGAAAGAACGTGAGCGGAGGGTGCTGCTCGCTCAGCAGGAGGTAAGCCCCGAGTGCGGTCGGACGGGACTCCCGGGCCGAGCGCGCAGGCGCGTGGGGGAGGGGCCGGAAGCGGGATGGCGCACAAGCGCAGTGCCTCCCGTGAGGCTGGAGGAGCTGGGCACGGTTGGAAACGCAGGGGCTCACCTGCGCGGGCCCTACCTGAGGCTCCCCCACCTGGGCCTCCCCTTTGCCCTGGTTTCCGCCACTCGTTTTTCGTGAGGCCAGGGTGTGCCTGGCTTAGAGTAGGGGCTGCTGAAAAAATGAATCCTGTGCAGTTCAGAGAAACGCAGACCCACGTTTAGTTCCTGCCCGACCTCTCTAGAGCGTCTGCTGTATGCTCGCCCCGAGCAGAGCGCTGGACCTGCTCTGTTCGTGCCCAGAGGGCACTGCCCTGCGCTGTGCAGAGAAGTGGGACATACCCGTCCCCCTGTGGGGCGAGCCCTCTTCCCGCGGCCCCCAACCCCGGGGGCTCTCGGTGTAACTTCTAGCTTCTAGCGTGCACGGAGTTTGAAGTTTGTTAACGAATCTGGCCCTCACCGCTGGCCGGGAGGTGGTCTGGGCTTTTAAAGCTCTTTTGTCAGCAGATTGCGTGTGGTCGAGGGACAGTGATCTGGAGCCTTACCTGTATTTCTGGTCGCCTGTTCGCAAATTTTGGGCTGCCTTCCTAGCTGTTTTTGTGCCAGCTGAGGTTGGGAAACCCTCTGGTTCACCAAAGGCAGCGTACAAACCCAGGTGTCACCTCATTCTCCCATCCTCTCCCCCAGGCTGGGTGATGCTCTGATGAGCCCTCAGCACCAGCACGGGGATTCTCTGTGCTTGGCACCGGTCTCACAGTTCGTGGAGGCACGGCTAGCAATGAATGCTCTGCCTGTAACTTTCTTTTCCCCAGGCCCGCACAGAATTCCTACGGAAGAAAGCCAGGCACCAGCACTCGCCACCTGAGCTCCAAGCAGCAGAGGCGGGAGCCCCCAGTTCTGGCCCTGTGGACCTATTTCGGGAGCTGCTGGAGGAAGGGAAAGGGGCGACCAGAGGCAATAGAGAGTATGAAGAAGAAAAGCGACAGGAGAAAGTAAGCTGCGCGCCACCCCCCACCCCCCCCCCCCCCCGCCAGTCAGGTAAAGTCTGGGGTGACTGATGGGAACAGAGGGGTAGGGTGGGGATGAAATGAGCTGACACAGAGAACTCAGTACTGGAACACAGCACTCTGAGTGTGGGTTATTGGCACCCTCCCTGCAGGGGCTTGGAAGTGGGTGCACGGCACTGTAGGTACAGACCCCTTGGGCTGATGTCAAGACCCTGTGGAGGTGTATTAGGAAGCTTTTTCATCTAAATCAGAACCTGGGGGTCCTGTCACTTACCCACTCTCAGGGGTTCCCACCAAACTCTGAACTTGCCTTTGTCTCGCCTCACTCCTTTGCCTTGCTGGCGGGCTTTCAGGTTCATCTTCAAAGTATCTCCCCAAAGATGTTGCCTCTGAACCCTAAAGCAGCTGCACCCCGTCCTTCCCCCTTGTGTTTTTTGTTATCGAACTGACACTCTGCCCAGTGCAGGAGGCCCACCAGTCCTTGGAAAAATGGCTGAGTTGACTCATGCTGCTTCTACCTGTCCAGGAGCCTGGGGGGATTCTGTTGTCACAGGTAGGGCTCCCTGAGTGGAGACATTGCTGACGTCCTCAGTTCCCTCATTCTGTCCCCCTCAGGAGAGGCAGGAGAAAGCTCTGGGCATCCTGACCTACCTGGGCCAGAGCGCAGCAGAAGCCCAGACTCAGCCGCCTTGGTACCAGCTACCCCCACGGCAAGGGGCCCCCCAGCTCGGCCCAGGTCCAGATGAAAAGATCAAGAACCGCCTGGACCCTCTACAGGAGATACAGAAGCACTTAAGGAAGAAGAGACAGCACAGTGGGGACAATGGTGGCCATGGCAGGAAGGGGAAGGAGAGGCCTGAGAAGCAGCGGCCTGAAGTGTAAGGAAGTGGGCGGCTGCATTGGTGCTGTCAGGGTGAGGGGCTGGGGGGCTGGGGGCCTGGGAAGGCAGCTCGCCACGTGTGGCTTTGGGGCCCCAATGCCCTAGCAGGGGGTCTGCAGAGGCAAGCTGGTTTTCCTGAGCCCCCGTGCCCCTTCACTCAGCCTTGATTGTCTAGTGGCTTCTGGAGAGACAGGGTGTGAAGAGACACTGTGGTGACTGGGGACGTAACCTTGTTTCAAGGTTTCCTCGCTTCTATGCAAAATAGCAATAGATGAAACCCACTGAAACAAAGCTTTCTGGGGTCTAGTTTGAGAACCACGGGGTCAGTCAGAGCAGGTTTGTGTCCCAAGGAGGACAAAACTGAGCAGGTCTCCTAGCTCCTACAGAAGGGGAAACTGAGGTCCTGGCTGTGCTCATCATCATAGCTCGTGATCTGGAGGGGCATCAGGAGGGGCAGTGATGGCAGTCCTGGGTCCTTGCACAGCATGAGGCCAGCTTCCTACCCACAAACCTCTCAGACCAGAGCAGGTAGGGGTGGATGGGGTTCCAAGTGGGGCAGCTCCTTCTTGGGGGAAAGTGGGACCTCTAGGGGCTACAAGTTTTCTGACCTGAGTGTTCTCCCCCCCAGACCCCCATCCCTGGACCAGCTTCGAGCTGAACGTCTTCGGCGGGAAGCAACAGAACGGGCTCGGGCAGAGGCCCTGCTGGCACGAGTCCGGAGCACAACCCCCCAGGAGGAGCAGCCTGAGGAGGAGACAGATGAACGGCGGAGGCGGTACAACTCCCAGTTCAATCCCCAGTGGGCCCGGCGCCCCACCAGCAAGACCCCAGCGCTCACTGACTCCTGGGGGGAGAGGAGAGGCCGCAGCTGCCAGCCGTCATATAAAACTATTTATTCATAAATATTTTCCAAAATGAAAATAGGTTTACCAAAAAATGTCCCTCACTGGGGAGGGGAGGAGGGGGCAGCCCTCGCCCCCGGGCCCCCAGGGTGGGGCTGCTTCCTGGGGGTGAGGGCTGCCCCAAGGCCTGGGGCCTCCCCCAGTCTTCCAGGGCCGGGCCCTAGCCTGGGCAGGGGGGTCAGCATGCGGGGGCGGGGGTGCAGGGGTAGAGGGAGGGGCCGGTGTCACTGGAGGTCCCGGTCCTCCAGGTAGCGGTACTCAAAGGTGAAGCCTTCCTTCTTCCGCTGGCCCCACTTCTCGTAGTCAAAGTAGATGTAGGTGCCCTGCCCAGGGGAGAAGGTGGTCAGTGAGTGGATGAGCAGGTGGCCAGGAATCTGGGCCGGACCGACAGACAGAGGGAATGGATCTCTGGGCCAGGGATGTGCCAGGTACGTGCTAGGTACCAGGCCCAGCGGCCTGCATGCACGTGCCAGCTCCCTCCACCCTCACCAGGCTCTTTTCGGGCAGGAAAAGATTCTCCTGCCCCCTTTAAAGGAACCGGGGAGGCAGAGGCGCACTGAGGCCAGCATGGGGCCTCAGTCCCCCGCACATTTATACAGCATCTGACTTCTCGTGAGGGCTGCGGCGCTTGAGCACAGGAGCTGGTGCTCGGCCCTTGAGCTGTGTGCTAGCATTGACCTTCACACAACCCCGAGGCTGTTACCCCCATCCTAGAGAATGGAATAGGCTGAGTCTACGTCCAGGCACACTGTTGGGATAGATGTTTTATTGGTGACAGTGGTGGCGTGGGTGTTTCTGAAGGAGGGAGGCCTTGCCGTGGACTTGGAGGATTACTTTGGCCCAAACCAGGATAGAGAGGGGAGTCTGCTTAATGTCAGAGGACACGGGGAAGGGGCCGGGTCTGCATCAGTATCTGAGATGCTGCAAAGAACCTGAAAAGAACTGAGGGGAGGGGACCGAGTTCTCTGAGGATAGAGGCCTTGTTCATAACTTGGCATCAGGCAAATATTGGGTAGAAAAAACCATTGTGGAATACAACAATTAGAAGTTATCAGAAGTCAACACCCCCATGGTACTACAGAGCACACACAGGGTACTCACATGTCATTAATTCATCTAATCCTTGTAACAACTGCACACATGGGTTTTGTCAGCTCGTGTTTATACATAAGGGCATGGAGGCAGGTCCAAGTGACTTGCCCAAGGTCACCCAGCTGGAGCTGAATTCAAACCCAACACAGCCTGGCCACAGAATGTTGTGCAACAAGTAGGAGGTTCTGATTTTCACCATGTGGGAAGGTCATTAAAGAATACAGCTTTTCTGTTTGTGTTTGCCGAGGAGCCCCTGATCTGCTGGGTGTGAGACGATAGGCCAGGTGCCTCCCTGGAGGAAGGGACACCATGGTGATGCCCCAGGGGAGGACCAGCAATGGGGCCGGAGGAAGAGGAGGACGACGATGGGCCTGGGGGTGGGCAGGGCACAGCGAGGGGCCCTCACCTGCTCAAACTCATCTGTGATGGTCTTGGGCTCCTCGTGCCTCTGGAACCACATCATGTACTTGGTGTGGAACCGCCACGACTGCTTCTTTAAGGCCTTGGCTGCCAGATACTGCGCCTTTGTGCCCTGGGGGAGGAAGGGAGGAGCCAAGGATCAGGGGGCCCCCAAACTGGTGGGGGCAAGGGGCACAGGGCATCAGGGCTGACCCGGGCCCCGCCGTAGACGGAGGGTGGGCTGGACAGTCCAGGTGGAGATGGGTGGGGACACAGAACATACCACTGCTGGTCAGGAAGAAATTGCTTTCAGAGAAGCTTTGAGAAGGAAAAGAAACTACTGCGTGTTGAGAGCTGAGAGCAGGCAGTTCAGGAAGCTTCCCAGGGCAGGATGAGAGTGGGGCTGGTTCTAACTCCCTGGGGTCATGCAGAGGGGACAGTTCTCTAGTGGCCTCCAGAAGCCATGACTGCACTGTGACGGATACTGGGGCACACCCACAGGAGGCCGGAGGGGCGGGGGCTCCCAAGCCCCAACAGTGGACAAACCTAGCCTGAGCTGAAGTGGGGATGGGGACAGGTTTGCCTGGGGGGTGAGGGGAGGGCAGGACTGGGGACAGGGAGGGGGTGCGGTCCCGGTGGCCGCTGTGGGGCACCCACCTCACCCCTCCAGCCCGAGGGGGGACGGCGGCGGTGGCGGCGAAGCCGGGGGGCCCGAGGCTGCCCCGGGGGCCCTGCTGTACCTCCAGATAGTAGAAGATGAAGAAGAGCGTCTCAGTCGACAGGCGCTGGTAGAACTCCACGGTGTCCGAGTGTGGGGGTGGCATCTGGTGGTGGTAGGGGGGTGTCGGGCAGGGGTTCCGGGGGAGGTACTGCCTGTGGACGAGACGAGGCTTATTCTAGTGCCTGATGATTCCCAGTCTCGAGGTGGGGGTAGAAATCTAGCCCTGATCTGACCACAGCCGCCCACCCCACGGATCAAGGGAGCTTCCATGCACCCGATCACCCCAGCATGGAGGACCAGCAGCAAGCTTCACACAGTGTCTCAGGACTGGGGAACCATAACCCCCATCAGGGCCGCCTCCCCACACTCAGGGGTCTTGGTCCCTCACCGGATACGCTCGGAGTCTGAGGGGTGGGGCATATGGTGCCAGGCGGCCTCTTCCATGGCCTGCTGGTAGAGCTGCTCCTTGGTGAGGGGCACAGGCCCCAGGGGACACACGCCCAGCGAGAGCGGGATGTTCACTTCTGACAGCTGCAGGGGCGGCTGAGCCGAGGCTGGTGGGGCGGACGTGCTGCTCAGGATGATGTCTGCAGGGCGGTGTGGGGGGTGTGGCAGGGCCAGGCCCTCCCGTGAGGCTGGAGTGTGCCGTTACCCCTGCCCGGCCGCCCCCACCTCACCCAGACCCTCACCTCGCTCGGTTAGGTGCAGCGTTGGCACAGGATCCTCGATGCCGGAACTGATGGCTGCCCGCTCTGCCATGGACTTGAGAGAGCTCAGAGGTTCCGGGGCCTGTGGGAAGAAGACAGCTGCTACCCATGCTGCTTCCCCCTCTGGCGGACGCTTGGCTCAGCCAAGGCTACCAGTTCTTCACCAAGGCAGCTGGCAGTGGGGAGAAAATCTGGATGTTGGGGCATAGGCAGCATCAGAGGAATGCCTGGTGAGCAGGGCCCCTCCCGAGCCGGACCATGACCGCGTGCTGCACATGGCAGACCAAACTGTGGTGCATGGATGCGGCACCACCACCGCTCAGAACATGTGGTAGCACACAATTCTCACACCCACACTAGCACCCACTCCGCTGGCGGCCATGCCATGGGAGGCTGCTGTGTGGCAGGGATCTGCATGTACCCCAGCTCCCATGGCAGCCATCCCAGAACTTTGGCACAAGAGAACCACTCCTTTCCTTAGCCTGTCCTGCTATGGGGACCTCACCGGACCCCAGGACCCCCATCACTCCCGGCTCAGAGGTCTCTCCTTAGAGACCTTGCTGGGCCACCTCCCCAGGTTCAGTACAAGACATTTCTACGGCTCCACAGCACGTGCTGCCCTGCCCCATGCAGTCACACGCAGCTTCCCGTACAGAAGGCAGGACCTGGGTGTATTCACCCAGCATGAAGTGCATCCCAGAGTGGGCATCAGTGTTTTCTCAATTTAGGCGGTCCCTCGGAAGGGAAAAGGATGGTGGTGAGCTGGATGATGGGTGTCTGAAGGAGTGAGCAGAAATGGGGACAGAGATGATGGGAACCCAGAGTGCAAGAGGGCAGGTCCCAACAGGAGCACAGGAAAGTGTCCCAGAGGGCAGGATGGTGGAGGAGCTCAGAGACCAGGCGAGAGCGCAGGCAGTGGGGAGAACACACCAGAGCCCCCCAGAGGAGTTGAGGGTGGCAGACCTGCAGGTTGGGGGGACAGCAAATGTACAGGAGGACGGCAGGACAAAGACACAGCAGCTGGGGCCCACCTTGATCTCCGGGGCGGTGCTGAACTGTGGAGGTCCGTTGAGCAGGGCGCCAGCTGCCTTGGCCTCACTGAAGCTAGGTGTCGGCGAGCTGGGAGGGTTCACGGGAAGCGGCACCAGGAGGCTGGGTCCTCCTGTATTGTTCCCTGAGCCTGGGGCCACACCCCCAGCCCCTGCAGGGGCTGCTGCACTGGGTTCCTTCCTAGGCAGCAGAGAAGGAGAGAGGGCTCGGTGCTCCAGGGACGAGTCAGGCCGCGGCAACGGCACATGGGGTGGGGAGCATGTGGGAGGTGGATGTTCCACTTAGGTGCATGGACACAGGGCAAGTGCGTCCATCCCTTGGGGCAGCCCACCCAGAGCCTCGTAAGGAGGCAGACCCAGGGAGCAGCTCTTCACTCCTCCCTTTCTTGGGGCCATCTTCTGAGAAAGGTCTGACCTGAGGTATGGAGCGGCAGCTCTCTGAGGGGAGTCAGGTGAGCCTGAGGCAGGTCACCAGAAAGGGGACATATGGAACTCTGAGAACACTCCCAATTAACCAAGGAACGTTTTAAGACAGTCAGAAGGGCAAAGCTAGGGGACTGGTGTATACGATGTTCTGACTGGAAAGAAGTTGGACACGACACCCAACCCAGTGGGAGAAGTCCTGGCAAGGACAGGAGCTGCTGAAGGCCAGACACTCACGAGGTGCTGGGAGGTGGGTTGTGGGGACCTGATGGGGGGCCCAGAGCCTGGCTGCTGGCACCACTGCCCCCACTGCTGCTGAGAGCCACCTCTGCCGGGCTGTCGGCCACCACTGAGCTATAACCTGGGGGTGGGAAGAGAGAATGAAAAGAGGCCAACCAATCCCAGACCCCCCCCAACCCCCTGCAGTCCTCCCACTTACTGGTGGCGCCGTTCTGTTTGCCAGCACCTCCACCTCCACTGCTGTTACTACTGCCACTGCTGCCACTGCCGCCTCCACCACTTCCCCCTCCCCCACCGGGCTGGACACTGGGAGGCCGGGGCTGGGTGGTGCTGGACCCGCTGGGGGCTGGTGGGGCCACGGCCTGGGCGTAGGGGGCAGGGG